CACGGTCTGGATGATGATGGTCTAGGGTGAGGGGAGAGGGTGTGGGGGAGCGCTCTGTGCTTTCCACTCAATTTACTCTAAAACATAATTCACGTTAAAGCCTATTGATTTAAATGCAGGGAAGAGGCAGCCAGGGTATGACGGAGTCAATGGAAATATTCAAGGATCGTGGTTCTGTCCCTCTCAGCCAGATCACTCTTCCTGAACACCTTTGTTCTCAGATGAGCTCCTGCTCCATCTCCATGGACGGCTTCTGCTGTCTGTGGGCAAAATTCTAAACTCCTCAGCCCGGCATTGACGGCACCTCCCGGTCCTGGCCTCAGACCGTCTTTCAAGCTTAGAATCAATAACGAGGAGCCCAAACTGAAAGGGACCTCAAAGACCATCCCCACCAGATTGTAAGTCCCACAAGGGGGGCCGTCCTTGTCTGTTCACCACAAGGAACTAGGACGTGACCAGGGTCTGCAAGGGCAGAGACCTACACCCGGATCTGGCTCCAGGTAGGAGTACATGCCCTGGCCCAGCCACCAGCCATTGCATTCCGGCCCAGTCCCCCCGCTCTTTTTTTTTGAGAGGGACTCTCACTCTGTCACCCAGGCCGCAGTGCGGGTGGCGCGATCTTGGTTCACTGCAACCTCCACCCCCCAGGTTCAATTGATTTCCTGCCTCAGCCTCCCGAATAGCATGGATTATAGGTGCCTGCTATCACGCCTGGCTAGTTTTTGTATTTTTAATAGAGATGGGATTTCACCATGTTGGCCAAGCTGATCTCAAACTCCTAACCTCAGGTGATCTGCCCGCCTCAGCCTCCCAAAGCACTGGGATTATAGGCGTGAGCCACCATGCCTGGCCAGAAATCCCCTTTTTCTTTCTCCCACACAGCCTGTCCTTCCACCTCCTTTTGCCTCAAGCCCGTTTCTCTGAACATTTCCGACATACTCCAGCCCCCTTCATCTCGCTTGCCTCTGAGCTCTCTGCAGCATGACTTTATCCTTGCCATACTTGGCTTCGTGCTGCGTTATTTGGAATTATTTGAGGCCAGGCCTCTTTTGTATTCAGCTCTGTCTCCAGTGCCAGAGCCCTGGAGCTGCCATGCATCCCTCAGTGTCTGTGGGACCTGCCAGGCCAGCTGTGGGAGTCAGGACTAGGATTGATCTGAGCAGAGCCTTCGTGTGGGTTTTTTTTGTTTTGTTTTGTTTTTTGAGATGGAGTCTCACTCTGTCGCCAGGCTGGAGTGCAGTGGCACGATCTCGGCTCACTGTAACCTCTGCCTCCCGGGTTCAAGAGATTCTCCTGCCTCAGCCTCCCAAGTAGCTGGGATCACAGGCAGGTGCCACCTGCTCCTCTGCTCTAAGAAAGCCTTATTCTTTTAGGATGTAAAGCATGGGCTCCGGATCCCAGCCGTCTAAACTTGAAATCCGGCTCTGCCACTTCCTGAACGTGTGCCCTTGCAGGAGTTGCTTAGTGTGCCTCAGCGTTTCCATCTGTCAAATGGAGATAGTATTAGTCTGTACTTGAGAGTAAGGATTTTAAAAGTTCATATAGGGGCTGGGTGCGGTGGCTCATGCCTGTAATCCCAGCACTTTGGGAGGCCAAGGCGGGTGGATCACCTGACGTCAGGAGTTCAAGACCAGCCTGGCCAACATGGTGAAATCCTGTCTCTACTAAAAATACAAATAAAAAAAAAAACTAGCCGGGCGTGGTGGCGGGCACCTGTAATCCCAGCTACTCAGGAAGCTGAGTCAGGAGAATCACTTGAACCCGAGAGGCAAAGGTTACAGTGAGCCAGGAACATGCCACTGCACTCCAGCCTGGGCAACAAGAATGAAACTCTGTCTCAAAAAAAAAAAAAGAAAATTCATATACGTAAAATGCTTAGAAATACATGGCACATAGTATTCATTCAATACATGTTTTATTATTATTATTAATCGTGTGATCCACAGGGATGAGCCAAGCACTCTGGACAACCATCCCAGGCTCCAAAGATAGGACAATGACATGGGTTCTGAGCCTTAAGTTCCAACATCCCCTTGACCTCCCAGTTCTAACTGGTCAGGTCCTATCTTCCCTGCTGAATTATTTGCTTCTTGTGTCCTCAGGAAACTGAGGCACAGAGAGGTCATAGAGCAAGGCCTCAAACCCCAGCAAGAACCCAGGCAGCTCTCCTGGGGCCGTGTCCCTAGGCCCCCTATAGACCCTGGCACCCAGTGGTCATGGGGGCTCCATGAGCCTTTCTTCACTGAGTGGAGGCCCTTCCACTCCTTCCCCCCGTCTTATTCTCTTCATCTGTTCGTACAGTCAAGGTTGTGGAATTGTAGAGTCGGGCACAAGCCTTGACGTTCAAATAGTTCAAGCCTCTATTTGATCAATAGGAGCAAAAGGTCCAGAGAGGCTAAACACAAGAGCATACAGCCAGTTATTGGCAGGAGTCGGGGCTGAGGAGCCTCCCCTTTTCCAAATGTTGCCTTGCTGGTGTTTGAAAGTGTTTGCCTAATAGAATAAACAGGAGCATAAAATGGTTTTTCCAGCAGAATGCTAAGTTCTCCAAAGTTGGGGTCTTCTGTGCTAGCTCGGGGTCCCTGCCAGGGTTCTCTTCATCCAGAGCAGTCAGTAAATGCTTCCCCAGTCTCCTGTCGTGCTTTCTGGAAGCACAGCATTGGCTGAACGTCTGTCAGGTACCGGGGGTGGCCTTAGGTGCCTTCGCATATGAGATCTCATTGAATTTTCACTTCAAAATGAAACTGAGTTCTTCATAAGAACTCCTCATTCTCATCCCCATTTTGTGAGAAAGTCAAAACAGTGGCAGGAGGAGCCTTGCACAGTTTCACACAGGTGGAATGTTTTCTGAGCCTAGATCCACGGGTCTTGCACAGTTTCACACAGGTGGAATGTTTTCTGAGCCTGGATCCACGGGTCTTGCACAGTTTCACACAGGTGGAATGTTTTCTGAGCCTGGATCCACGGGTCTTGCACAGTTTCACACAGGTGGAATGTTTTCTGAGCCTGGATCCACGGGTCTTGCACAGTTTCACACAGGTGGAATGTTTTCTGAGCCTGGATCCGTGGGTCTTGCAGTTTCACACAGGTGGAATGGTTTCTGTGCCTGGATCCACAGGTAAGCTGAGGAGTAGTGCAGAGAGAACTGGTCTGCCGGCGGAGAAACAGGCCAGGTGGAAAGTGGGGCAGTGAGCTCCTTGGGGGCGGGAGGGGCAAGGACAGGGAAGACTGCCCAGCGCCAGGCCTCTCCTGAGGGCGGCACTGATCCTACCCCCAACCTTTCACCTTTCACACTTGAGGGCTCCCTTGTCTTATATATTGTGTTAGCACCATGAAGTACACTGATTTTTCAGTAGATAAGCATGTGGGCTAAGATTTTACTTTTTTGAAAAATATTTTATCATGTTACGACGTTTGTACTGTGTGAGAAGGAATGCATATGATCTAGCTCCACCACGTTTTAACCCATCAGGAACTCCGTCATAAACTTTATTAAGAGACAGAATTTCATTCTTGTTGCCCATGCTGGAGTGCAATGGCATGATCTCAGTTCACTGCAACCTCTACCTCCTGGGTTCAAGCGATTCTCCGGCCTCAGCCTCCCAAGTAGCTGGGACTACAGGTGCGTGCCACCCCACCCAGATAATTTTTTGTATTTTTAAAAGAGATGGGGTTTCACCGTGTTGGCCAGGCTGGTCTCGGACTCCTGATCTAGTGATCTGCCTACCTCGGCCTCCCAAAGTGCTGAGATTACAGACGTGAGCCACTGCGCCTGGTCAAGTTTGTCCTGTGTTTAAACATTTTATTTTAGATTTGCTGTAAATATTTATTATCTATATTCCTTCTATTTTTATAAAACAGTAATGTGCATAACTGAAAACTTGAAAAACACAGAAAGGCAGAAAGAAGAGGGGAACACATCACCAAATTTACCCCTGAACAGCCACACTGTGACCTTGCTGTACTCCTTTGAAGGGTTTTGTTTTCCTATGCACAAGTTTGAGAGATGTGCTTTCCTTAGGTAAAAGGTAAGAAAGTCCCTGCTCTTTTCCACCGAATAATACAAGTAGCACTTTCCCCGTGAACCCAGTCATTGAAGGAGCATCATTTCTGACAGCTACCTAGTGTTTTATCAAGTGGATGAATATTTTGTATGTAACCAGTTCCCTAGCATTGAAACATTTTAATGGCTTCACATTTTTCATGATTATAAATTATGCTACAGTAAAGGGATGATTTTCTCCCAATAACAGCTTTTCTCAAATCATTAACTTGTCATTGCAAGACCCTGGGAATGGAGAATGGATCTTAGCTTGAGCAACAGTCTCCACGCAAAGGTGCTGACTGCAGAGTCATGACAGATGACAGGAGGGAAGAGGGGGAGGAGGGGCAGGTGATAGTTTAAAAAGTTTTTCATTTTCATTATGAAGGTACTATGTAGTTACATACAATTTGGAAAATACGTGAGTTTGGAATGTGTTCCAGCTCCAGTTTTAATTAACATGAACATGTAGGTCTTCTCGGCCTCCAACTCCATCTGTACCCACAAAAAACCTGGTCTCTTGCAAATGTGTCTTCCACCCCAGGTATTTCTGGAGTCCCCAAGGGTGACCACAAACCATTGCAGGTTTGTCTTCTATTATCATTGCTGCTGGTTTTATCATTGCCACTAGAAGCTTCCCTACCCCCTTATTCTTCATCAAAGACTTGCATTTTGCCTCTGTTAAATGAAGGTTCAATGGTGACAGGGTGACCGACTAGGGTAAAAAAAAAAAAGAAAGGAAATAGTTTACTCACTTCTGCAGCCTCTTAGGGATCCCAGAGTGGGTTCACTTGAGCTCCCAGAAATTACAGGGCGGGGCGAGGTCATTCTTCACTTTGCACACCTAGCCCTTCTCTGTCTTATTCACTGCTAGGCCTGGCATGATGCCTGGCACAGAGGTGTGCCCAATTGAGATTTGTGCATTAACCTCATGAATAAGCGAATGGCCCATCTAGCAGGAAGTAGAGAGAGAGCTCCGTGAGATGACTGGCAAAGGCACCAGGTGGCGTGGCAGGGGCCGGATGGAAAGCTAGCAGCAGCCCCTCTTCCCGTTAGGCCCTCCCTTCCCTTCTCCGAGGCCCGCCCACCCAAGGAGGGGTTACTTCACTGTCAGGGATTCCCACAGCTCCTGGCTTGCTTGCATCCCACTTACCTCTTCTCGCTGTCGGTGTCTTCCCGGGGCCTGGGGCTGGCTGGTGGCCAAGTGTCCTTGGGGCAGAGACTGTCCTCTTTGGTATTCTCGGTGTCCCGCCAGGGCCCAGACTAGGCTGGTGCTCCACGACAGGCCAGGGGAGAGGTGAGCGAGACCCTGTGGAACATGAGTCTCTGCATCTCACAGCTTCCAAGAAAGTGATTTCTCTACATAGGAAAGTCTAGAACTATAAACTATCTTTCAAATAAAAATCCTTTCCCAACTCATTGCAAGTGTCATTTTTATCACGCAATGCCACATTCATGTCATTCAACACGTATTTCTGGCACACTGGCTATATGCCAAGCACTGCTAGGTGCTGGGGATACTGGTATGGACAAGAGGGACACAATGGCCCAGCCGTCACCACCCAGACTGATAAACTGGCTCATCTGGTCTTGTCGCCTCTACCCAGGAACCGGCTCAGCGCAAGAGGGTGACTTCGACTTCCTGTGATGTCATCTCCAATCCGAGCAACCAGCACTCCTCACTCCCCGGACCCCTGTTCACCAAATTAGCCTTCCCTGCTGGAGCCTGCAGACCGCAGGAGAGGCAGACAGGAAGCACCCCCACAAACACACACATATGGGATTTCAAGAATTTATGGTTATTTATGGTCAGGGCTTTGAGAGAAGAGAATGCAATCCTGGGAAGAACTGAGGGCAGCTAGTTAATGTCAGGGGTGTGGGGCAAGTCCTCTCTTTGAAGAAAGGACAGCTGTAGTTATGCATTGATGTGTCCGTTTGTTTAGCATTCCTCGCCCCCACCCCCAGGCTAAGCTTTTAGAAGAGCAAGACCACATCTGTGTTATTTGCTGCCTTCCTACCTTCTGGTTTAACCACACGGGATCCTCGAACAGCCCTTCCCCGGCAGCTGGAACAGGTCCGGCTTGCCTTCTGCAGCAGGTGCCGGTGGCGCTCAGTGAGCTAGTCCAGGTCCTGCTCCAGCTTCTTAGCAAGTGTCCTCAGTTCCTCTGCTGTCTCTGTCCTTGCCCCATCCTCCAGGTGCTTCCAGCTCTGCAGGAAGCTGCTCATGTCTTTCAGAAGTAAGAAGCCAGCCCCAGCAGCACCCATCACCCGGGCACCATTGGTCATGGCCAGAGTTGTGCCCTCAAAGGCTCTCTGCACCCCTCTAGCCCACCAGAAAGGGATGTGTCTTGTGACCACAAAATTCTTGACCATAGCCATGAACCCAGAGTTGGCTTTGGCCATCTGGTAGGCACGAAGGTCCCTGATGCCCTTGATGGCTTTTACACACTTGTCAACACAAAAGCCAGCAGCCCCGATTTCAGACCAATTTATTTCTCCAAAAGCCTCATGTGATGTCGTCAGAGGCCCCAGTCGGCTGGCTTTGTCTCTTGCTGCTGAATCGCTCCTATTTTCTAAAACATTTGTTACTATGTTGGTGATGGCAGCTGCTGCCCCCAACCCTGTCGCAGCTGTTGAGAGCACGAGACTGCCTCCTGCTGTCACAGGTGCTAGGGCCAAACCCAGGATGCTCATGACCCCAGAAACAGTCCCGGAAGAGCTGGCCACCGGGCTGGTCTTGGTCAGCAACTTGTGAGTGGTGTCAGCTTGGTCCGCAAGGATGTTAAGTTCTTTGATGTTCTGTTCTAGCTCAAATTTGTGCAAAGGAAAATACGAGAGAAACAGTCTTTCCTCCTCTGACAGCCAGCCGTCTGGCATGGAATCTTTGTCACATCGCATCAGTTCTTCAAACAGAACACAGGACAGCACAGCAGCCTCATCACTGTGGACAGCTGACATCAAATTGTTAATTTTCCAACTCGGCACAGGTTCACCAGTGAGGCTAAAGACATCGAGGTAATCTGAGTACTAAAATGTGTGCAGGAGGCAGAGCCCTGGGAATCGAGGTATAATGTCAAAACCACCTTTGCAGAAATTCTAACAGTGGGGAAATTATGGCAGTGAAAGGGGTCTGACCTAGCCGGCTTCATCTTGCTTCTAACCTCCAAGCTGTTCTTGTTCTTTCTTCTGGGCACAGGCTCAACTAACTTTGGGAGGAACTTAGTTTATAGTTTAACTTTGAAACAAAGATGACAACAGCCCCTTCCCGAAACAAACCCCTTTCTTGCCTAGGGACCAGACTGCCTTTACAGGACTAAAAAATTAGCCATAATATTAGAAATTATAATTTAGGTGTTATTCAACCAGAGGCCACAAGATTCTAAACCTCCCCACTTACTCCTCGACATAACATCACTATTGGAAAACCTAACACGAGTGCTTGAGGTATTTTTCAGACCCTGCACTCAGTGGTTCAGCTGTCGCCACCCAGACTGATCAACTGGCTCATCTGGTCTTGTGGCCTCTACCCAGACACCGGCTCAGTGCAAGACAGTGACTTCAACTTCCTATGATTTCATCTCCAACCCCAGCGATCAGTACTCCTCACTCCCTGGACCCCTACCACCAAATTATCCTTTAAAAAAAACCCATCCTGGCCAGGCGTGGTGTCTCATACCTGTAATCCCAGCATTCTGGGAGGCCCAGGTGAGCGGATCACAGGGTCAGGAGTTCAAAACCAGCCTGGCCAATATGGTAAAACCCCGTCTCTACTAAAAATACAAAAGTTAGCTGGTTGTGGTGGTGGGCGCCTGTAGTCCCAGCTACTCCAGAGGCTGTGGCAGGAGAATTGCTTGAACCTGGGAAGCGGAGGTTGCAGTGAGCTGAGATCACGCCACTGCACTCCAGCCTGGGCAACAGAGTGAGACTTTGTCTCAAAAAAAAAAAAACCAACAACAACAACAGCAAAACCCACTCCTCGAATCTTTGGAGAAACTGACTTGAGTAATAATAAAACTCCAGTCTCCCATTCATCTGGCTCTGCATGAATTAAACTCTTGATTGCAATTCCCCTGTCTTGATAAATCAACTCTATCTGGGCAGAGGACAAAATGAACCCACTGGGCTGTTAGTGTGGGTGGCAGACAGACAGACAGACAGAAGGTCCACTCTGGCCTGGAGCCCTGGGTGGGGGTGGCCATGTGTTTTGAGCAGGAGCACAGCTTGAACTACCCCTATGCAGGCCCAGGCTGGTGGCTTACTATTCCATTCATCCACAAACAGCTCTCTTCCAAATGTATGTGGATACCAGCCCAGGCACAGTGGCTTGTGTCTGTAATCCCAGCACTTTGGGACACCGAGGTGGATGGATCACCTGAGGTGGATGGATCACCTGAGGTGAGGAGTTCGAGACCAGCCTGGCCAACATGGTGAAATCCCATCTCTACTAAAAATACAAAAATTAGCCAGGCATAGTAGTGGGTGCCTGTAGTCCCAGATACTCAGGAGGCTGAGGCAGGAGAATCACTTGATCCTAGGAGGCACAGGTTGCACTGAGCCGAGATCGTACCATAGCACTCCAGCCTGAGCAACAACAGTGAAACTCTGTCTCAAAAATAATAATAATAATAATAAAATAAATGTATGGGGATACTGACGTTATGAATAAAATGTAACTTAAAAGCTTTACTGACTTTTGTCACCAATTCTTTTCCTAAAAAAGACATATGTACATGTATACATTTATAATTTATACATATGTAAGTTGTGACTAATTTGATTAAGAAACAGTACCAAAAGTATACAGAGCAGATGCCTTGATCTTCTTTCTTTTTCTTTTTTTTTTTTTTTAAAAACATGTTTGCTTGTAAATTGTGGTTGCTTCTGGGCAGGGAACCTGGGACATCTGGAAATAGGATTTAAGGGGAGACTCTTTTTTTTGTTTTTGAGACGGGGTCTCACTATATTGCCCAGGCTGGCCTCAAACTCCTGGGTTCAAGTGATGCTCCCCAGCAGCTGGGACTACAGGCACATGCAACCACACCTAGTGACACTTACTTTTACTGTTTGCCCTTTTGTTCCTCTTAGCTTTTGTGTCATATGCATGTATGATCATTTTTAAAAATTAGTAAAAGAGTCTACATTTCCAAAGCAAAAGTTTGGGGATCTCCAAGAAGACAACCACATATCCCCCTTCCACGGGAGAGGGCTCACTGTCGTTCAGTTGGACAGTGTTGAATATTTTGAAAACAAAGTAGATTTTTTTTGTTTGTTTTGAGACGGAGTCTCACTCTATTGTCCAGGCTAGAGTGCAGCGGCGCGATCTCGGCTCACTGCAACCTCTGCCTCGAGTCCAAGCCATTCTCCTGCCTCAGCCTCCCAAGTAGTCAGGCATGAGGCACCACCATGCTGGGCTAATTTCTGTATTTTTAGTAGAGACAGGGTTTTGCCATGTTGGCCAGGCTGGTCTCGAACTCCTGACCTCAAGTGATCCACCCCCTCTCGGCCTCCCAAAGTTTTGAGATTACAGGTATGAGCCACCGCGCCCGGCCCAAAGTAGACTTCTAACAAAAGTGTGGTCATACTTAGAAATAGTGAGATCTACTCTGACCACTTGTTAACGGGCAAGTGACTGAAGCTTGTAAATCTTAAGAAAAAATGAGGAAAAGGGAAAAAAGGCACAACTGGGAAAATTCTCTCCACTCAAACCTTTCCTGTAATTTTAAAAAAGAATCACCATTCAGTTTTCCTGTTGAATCATTTTGGCTCAGTATCTGGAACTTCAGGGTTATGCAGGACCTTTGAGAACCACTGTTCTTAAGAACCTTTATCTTACGGAATTTGGGGCTCCCAGCGTGGGTATTGCTGGACTATGGACTGTGTGTGTGACTTTCTACAGCACGTAACACGGTCTGACTTGTATGTTCCCTAGGTTGGTTCTGGCCTGTCTCCTAAGGGAGCATCTACAATAGACTTGGCTTGGGTTTGATGGATAGTGAGAGAGGGTCTATGGGAAAGGATGCAAGGCTGTGGGCAAACTGTACTTGGACCAAGGAACCCCAAGGCCTGAAAGGAACTTTGGACAATGGACTTAGAATCCTCTGCTCCCTAGCCAAGGCCATTAGCAGCCTCAAGTGGACCAGCCCTGGGTCCCTCCCTCCTCCCTCCTGGGGGAAGCGGGAGGGGCCTTCTGACATCCTTCCTCGTCTTCAAGTCACTCTTTTAAGAAAGGACTTCATCGGGGTTTAAAGTGAACATCTCTGTAAACCTAGGGTTTCAGTGCCCCCTCTCCAACCTAAGTTTTAGAACTATGAGATGTTAGAGCTGGAAGCCCTTCCAGGTCGCCTGGTACACAGATGGCAGAGGCATAACCTCCCCGCTATTGTTAGTGAGGGTGTCTAAAGCACAGGAGAATCGCGGTGCCGCATCTAGGCTCTTTGGGAAAGAGTGCTGCTGTGACCTAGTGGGCGCCGTCTAGGCGCAACACAGAAGATAAACAGTCATCTGCCACATTTTTGCCATCAATGAGCCCAGTCCCTCATTTACAGAGGAGCAAACCGGCTCCAAAAAGGAGGGACATTCCCTGATTACAACTGAGTTAGTGGTGGAGTTAGGCTAAGAACCTAGGGCCGGGCGCAGTGGCTCAGTCTGTAATCCCAGCACTTTGGGAGGCCTAGGTGGGCGGATCACTTGAGGTCAGGAGTTCGAGACCAGCCTGACCAACATGGTGAAACCCCATCGCTACTAAAAATACAAAAATTATCCAGGTGTGGTGGTAGGCACCTGTAATCCCAGCTACTTGGGAGGCTGAGGCAGGAGAATCGCATGAACCTGGGAGGCAGAGGTTGCAGTGAGCCAAGATCGCACCATCGCACTCCAGGCTGGGCGACAAGAAGGAAACTCCGTCTCCTGAAGCCTCTAGTCTGCCTCAACCACTGGCTGATTTTCCCCGAGATACAAAAAATCATCCCTCTCCCTTTACCAAAGGAGGAGAGGTGAACATTGTACAAGCACATAGGAAGGGCCCCCGTTAACTCCGGTCCACGCAGCATGCGTCGGCCAGTAGCCAAAGTCAAGGACACGGATAAGTAAAATGGTTGTGCCTGTGCCCGAAAAGTCAATGCCTTTTTTGGGAGCTTTCCCAGACTTAACGAGAGCCTTAGGGGGAAATCTTGACAGCAGAGGTGGGAGAGAGAACAGTAGAGGGAGGTTGGGCCAAGGACACAGAGAAGTGAATGACTGTACCTGTGCCTGAAAGCGCAGGCAACCCATTTGCATGACGCATGAAGATTTTATCTTTAGGCGCTTGGCTGCTATAAATTGCGGGAGCATTGCAACCCACGTTAGAGAACCTTATGGACACTTTGGCAAGAGTTAAGTGCAGCCTCTGTTAGGCAGCAGAGTCTGTTGTGAGTCTACTGCTGCAGCCGAGCTCTGTGGGAGAGTCTGAACGCCCAGGCCAAGGCAATAGAGAGGCACGTCCCAGGAGCCTGGATCTCAAGGCAAGACTCAGACACTGTCATGGGTTGGGAAAGGGTGAAGGCAGACCCAGGAAGGAATATTCCTGGATTGGGAGAAAACCAGCAAATTCTGCTTCTAGGATTCCATTGCCCTCTAAGCCATGTGTCTGGGCATCTATCCGTATACAATGTACTTACCATTACCAAAAGATTTTTTTTTTTTTGATGAAGTCTTGCTCTGTCGCCCAGGCTAGAGTGCAGTAGTGGTGCAATCTTGGCTCACTGCAACCTCTGCCTCACGGGTTCAAGCAATTCTCCTGCCTCAGCCCCCCATGTAGCTGGGATTACAGGCATGCTCCACCATACCTAGCTAATTTCTGTATTTTTAGTAGAGACAAGGTTTCACCAGGTTGGCCAGTCTGGTCTTGAACTCCTGACCTCAAGTGATCCGCCCACCTCGGCCTCGCAAAATTCTGAGATTACAAGCATGAGCCACCGTGCCTGCACTTACCAAAGGTTTTACATTTTTTTTTACTAAGATTTTTTTATGCGGATGTGTACGTTTTTCCCCTTTTTTGCATATCTCTAATTGCACATGAGACAACATGAGCAACGCGTCAGCCAACTTGGTTGGAAACCATTTGTAGTTTCATCCTATGAAGGTGGCTACAGATCTGGATATTAACAATCAGATTTTATTCCTTCATTCAAATACTCACTGACAGCTAGGCGTGGTGGCTCACACCTGTAATCCCAGCACATTGGGAGGCCGAGGTGGGTGAAGCATTTGAGGTCATGAGTTCAAGACCAGCCTGGCCAACATGGCAAAACTCCGTCTCTACAAACAATATAAAAATTAGCCAGGCGTGGTGGCAGGCGTCTGTAATCCCAGCTACTCAGGAGGCTGAGGCAGGAGAATCACTTGAACCAGGGAGGCAGAGGCTGTAGTGAGCTGAGATCGTGCCACTGCACTCCAACCTGGGTGACAGAGAAGAGACTCTGTCTCAAAACAAAACAAAATCAAACCCAAATACTCATTGAGTGCCGGGTCTGTGCCAGACACCGTTTTAGATGCTGGGATTGTGGCCATAAGCATAACAGTCCGTTCTCTGCCCTTACAGAACTCAGGTTCTGGGGACTTCCCCCAGACCTCACCTCCGTAGATTACCTTTGGAAGCCACGTTTCTTCACAACCTTCTCCCAAGCCTGGAGATGGACGAAGATTAGGGACATTTCTTCTTGAGTTATCTCAGTCCAAAAAGACATAACAGCGCTCCGGGAAAGTCGGCTGTCTAATTACAATATTGGAGAATTAGAAAAAAAAAAAAAGTTAGAATACAACAAAAATCTTAATGTCTCAGAAATGTCACGTGATTTTTGTCTGATTTTAACCGAACAAACCATGGGAATGCCCAAGGCTGACTAGGATGCAATAAAACTGAAAATCTCTTAGGCTGCTGGTGGCAAAGTAGATTGGTAAAGCACTTTTGAAATGCTGACATTATACATTAATGAAATGGGAGTGGGCGGGGAAGTGCTGCATAGAGAAGGGCATGGTCCCTGGTGAGTGTTCCACCCTCTGGCCTGGGCCCACGGATCTAAGTGAGGACAAGCATTTCTGTTTTCGTTCCCAAATGTTGCATTTTCCAAGACCTCTCTGGCTCGCCATGTCCCCACCTAGCAGGCAGAAACACACAAGCAGCTGGCCATCGAGAGGAACACACAGGCAGAACACACCGACAGATGCTGACAGGTCATACACGGCTGGATGACATGGAATTCAGCCAAAGGCAGTTGGAGGAGAACCCGGCCGCTGAGTGGCCCAGCTCCAGGGGAAGACCACCTGCCCACTCCATCCCCTTTCTGGCTCCCCATCCATCTGCTGAGAGCTACATTCAATAAAACCTTGCACTCATTCTCCAAGCCCACGTGTGATCCAATTTTTCCGGCATACTAGGGCAAGAACCCTGGAATACAGAAATTAGACCAGAGCTCTGCCTTATCCTTCCGATAAGCTCCCTGGGGCTTCGGGAGCTGCAAACACTGAACCCTAGATGGCACTGCTGTGGGGTCGGAGCCCATGCTCCTCACGACCTGCACGTCCGTATGCTGCCCCTAGGGGTTTGAGCTGCAGGGCACCGAAGAAGTGAGCCACAGCCTGTTTTATACCGTGCAAGGGGGATAAGGGAAACTTTTCCCATTCCATTAAGTCACAAAAATCTTCTGAGAATCATCCAATAACACAATGATAGGCACCAAGACAATCGGGGCCATGTTATTGATAACACTGTTAACTTGGGAGCAAGTGAACGATCATTCTGTCCAGTGCCTATCATCTATAATCCTGAGAGAGGCACAGTCTGGTCCCTGCTGAATGACACCCGCCTGATGACAAGGCTCGTGGGCGGGATGGTGGTTGGTTTTGCCCAGGCAGGCAACACAGCAGAGTCCACCTTGTTCAGACACTCTTTCTCACATTGCAGCTTCTTTTGTTGCTCAAAAATCACTTTAAATGTATTTTCAATATAATTTGACAAAAAAATTGTCAAATTTGACAAAAAATATAATTTGACAAAAATCACCGCTAGTTCCATTACTATTGATTTTATTCTCTACTTCCAGTAATTTTTCAAATCCGTATTATTTCTTGCATGGTTTTTATACTTATAATGGTGTGTCCTGTTTTTATTATTTATTATTATTTTTTTTTTGAGATGGTCTCACTCTGTCACCCAGGCTGGAATGCAGCGGTGAGATCTCGGCTCACTGCAACCTCCACCTCCTGGGTTCAAGTGATTGTCCTGTCTCAGCCTCCCGAGTCATTGGAATTATAGGTGTGCACCACCATGCCCAGCTAATTCTTGTATTTGTAGTAGAGATGAGGGTTTCACCATGTTGGCCAGGCTGGTCTCAAACTCCCAACCTCAGGTGATCCATCTGCCTCAGCCTCCCAAAGTGCTGGGATTACAGGTATGAGCCGATGTGGCCAGCCACGTGCCCTGTTTTTAAAATGTAATGTTATACAAGTATTTTCCATCTTGCTATGCAGTTGTTATAATGATTATTTTTGATGACTCTATGCTGTTTCCTTAACAGAAGATGTATTGTCCTGTTTATAGAAACACTCCCTTATCACGGCACTTTGGCATCTTTTTTTTTTTTTTTTGAGACGGGGTCTTGCTCTGTTGTCCAGGCTGCAGTGCAGTAGCACTATCTCCCGGTTCAAGTAATTCTCCTGCCTCAGCCTCCCAAGTAGCTGGGACTACAGGTGCGCACTACCAACCTGGCTAATTTTTTGTATTTTTAGAAGAGACAGGGTTTCAACATGTTGGCCAGGCTAATCTCAAACTCCTGGCCTCAAGTGATCTGCCCACGTTGGCCTCCCAAAGTGTTGGGATTACAGGCGTGAGCCACTGTGCCCAACCATGCTTTGGGGTCTTAACACTTTTGTTATTCAGATGAGTTCTTTGATAATGTTGCCACCTTGTCCTGCCTGCTGCCTCTACTGTAACCAGTGATGGAACCAGTGATTGGCCCCTTCCCCCCTGCCACACTGCTTCATGCAGGGGCCTGAGGAGCTGCTTATGTTTTTAGTTAAACTTTACATTTTTAGTTAACCTTTACAAAGGAAGTTATTTGATGTAGTGTTTTCAAACACGAGCAGTTGAGAGGGTCTCAGGATAACTCCCTCATTAAGGCTAAGGACCTGCTATATCTCCACCCAGCAATAGCATATGGCTTCCCAGGGAGTCATGGCTTCCATTTTCTTTCATATAAGACTTGTTGATTCTTTACATTTGTTGCTAACGTGTATTTCTTTGATGTTGTACATTGTTTTGATGCAATTACGAATAGTGGTCTTTTAATGTAATGTTTTCTAACTTGTCTTGTTACTTATAGAAATGTTACCCATTTTTAATACTCTTGTGCTTGACTACATGTTTATTACTGTAGTAGTTATTGAATGAATAATTCATGAATGAATAATGCTGGACTTTTATTTCTGTTTTTAGTATTTTGTTTTCTTATGTTGGTTTCATGCCTTATTGGGTTTCCTTGGATCCTTATTTTATATTATGATATTGACTCTAGTATTTCACAGTTGGCAGTTGGCTTTCATCATGATAAGGCAGTGTGTTTTATTCCTATACTTAGACATTTTTATTAGGACTAAGTGTGGAATTTTCAAACTCCAATGAGATGATTATTCTTTTCCTTTTTTGTTTATCCCATGAATGTGGTGCATTCTTAGCATAGATTTCCATATATTGAATTACCCATACATTCCATGAAAACCCCCAACTTGGTCATTGCATATTTTTGAATCAGAATGTTATAGATTTATATCCTCTAGTATTTTATTCCTATATTCATCATAGAGAAATACATGATATTGAGTCATAGTTTTCTTGTGATCACAGTTTATCATTGGTGTTATATTTGCTTCACAGAATGTATTCAATAGCGTATTTTTTCTATTTCTGGGACAATTTGTACAACATGAGAATTGTTTGTTTTCTGAAAGCTTAAGAGAACTTACCAGGTAACACCTTGGAACCAGAAACTTGCAAATTTCCTCATTTGCCACATGGGATGCTTTAGATTTTTTTAAATTTAAGCTTATAATATGATTAATAAATGTGACTCTCTTCCCCATTCCTGAAACCTGTCTCTCCCAGTCCTCACCTAAGTCTATTTTTTTCTTTTCTTTTTTTTTTTTTTCTTTTGCAATAGAGGCTCTCTGTCGCCCAGGCTGGAGTGCAGTGGTGTGATCTCAGTCACTGCAACCTCTGCCACCTAGGTTCAAGTGACTCTCCTGCCACAGCCTTCTGAGTAGCTGGGATTACAGGTGCCTGCCACCATGCCTGGCTAAGTTTTGTATTTTTAGTAGAGACAGGGTTTCACCATGATGGTCAGGCTGGTCTTGAACTCCTGACCTCAGGTGATCTGCCCGCCTCAGACTCAAAATGCTGGGATTACAGGCACAAGCCACCGCACCCGGCCTGCCTATTCTTTTTTGAAGAGACTTAAAAAACCCTAACAAAGTCCGTGGTCTTTCAAACTGCACCTGGTTCTAATTTTCTATGTACAATTATTTCTTATGTTCTTTGAATAGGTGTTTCACAAAAGAAGTACTGTGGCCAGTAAATATGGGACAAGGCGCTTGACATCACTAGTCGCCCCAAAACACAAATTTAGACCATGGCCAGCTACTGTTTCATTGATTAGTTTGGCATCCTGTGTGGGCGAAAAAGAGACAGGAGAACACGTACACTTGGTTGAGACATAGATACTTGGCTGAGCATAAGATTACATTGCTTTTGTTTTTTTTTTGTTTTGTTTTTTGAGAGCGAGTCTCGCTCTGTCACCCAGGCTGGAGTGTGGTGGCATGATCTTGGCTCACTACCTCTGCCTGCCGGGTTCAGGTGATTCTCCCACCTCAGCCTCCCAAGTAGCTGGGATTACATGCACCCACCACCACGCCAGGCTAACTTTTATATTTTAAGTAGAGATAGGGTTTCGCCCTGTTGGCCAGGCTGGTCTCGAACTCCTGACCTCAGGTGATCCACCCATCTTGGCTTCACAAAGTGCCGGGATTACAGGTGTGAGCCACTGTACTCGGCCACTATGGCTTTTGGAAGGATGATTTAGGGTATCTTTCTTTTTTTGTTTTGGAGATGGTCTCATTTTGGCAACTAGGCTGGAGTGCAGTGACACAATCTCGGCTCACCGCAGTAACCTCCCAGGCTCAAGTGATCCTCCTGTCTTACCCCCCCCAAGTGGCTGGGACTACAGGTGTGTGCCACCATGCCCAGCTAATAAATATATAAAAATATATATATGGAGATGGGAATTCGCCATGTTGCCCAGGCTGATCTCTAACTCCTGAGCTCAAACAATCCACCCTCCTTGACCTCCCAAAGTGCCAGGATTACAGGCGTAAGCCACTGCACCTGGCCTTCTCAGGGTGTCTCTTAACATGAGAAGTACACATGCCTGACACTCAGCATCCCACCTCTAGAAACTCACCCGCCACAGACACAACACAACAGCAGGTACACAGACAAATGTGTACAGATGTTCATCCAGTTATTTGAAGTTGTATAAAGGAAATGGAAACAATTTGAAAAATCCATGTCTGGGACTGTTTACATGAAAATAGAGCAATACAAAATAAAGGCTTATGGATGTGAAAAGGAACGAGGCAAATCTATGTAAAACTGACCTAGAAAGAGGTCTAGGATATATTAAGCAAAATAAAATAGGTTGAAGAAAATGTTCTTTATATTCTTTTCTCATTTTTTTTAAAGTACTATATATGTGATGTAGGAGTAGGGGAATATTCTCGAAGGAGATACACCAAATGTGAACAGGCTTAGGGAGTGAGATTTAGGGCTGGGGTGACAAAATACTTTTGCACTTTTCACTCATCTATGTTATTGAGCTTTGTTACCAAAGTAACATGTTAGTTTTATAATAAAAGCCAATAGAAGCCAGGCATGGTGGCTCACGCCTGTAATCCCAGCACTTTGGGAGGCTGAGGCAGGCAGATCACCTGAGGTCAGGAGTTTGAGACCAGCCTGGCCAACACGGTGAAACGCTGTCTCCACTAAAAATACAAAAATTAGCTGGGCATGGTGGGGGCACCTGTAGTCCCAGCTACTCGGGAGGCTGAGGCAGGAGAATCTCTTGAACCCAGGAGGTGGAGGTTGCAGTGAGCTGAGATTGCACCACTGCACTCCAGGCTGGGTGACAGAGCGAGACTCCGCCTCAACAACAACAAAAGCCAACAGAATAAAAAGAGTTTAATAATGAGATTTATTATTCATTTTTTATCATTATAAAATCTCCAGCTTGTACAGTAATGCATGGGGTGCTGGGAATGCTGCCAAGCACATGGTAAGACAAAGAAAGTCTGACAAATTCCTACTATTAAATATTCATATTGTCTTCTTTGTTTGTTTGTTCTGTGTAAGTTTTTCTAACTTGTTATTTTGGCCTTTTGTGTCCTATTTATTTCAGGCTATCTCTTAGATGTAAAAATTACTCAAATCTGATTTTGATACTCTTCTTCATGTTATTCATATTCATATTAATTTTCTGTTATAATTGTTCAACTTTGATTTGTCGCATTATTTTAGGCATTCTGCTTTGTATTTCTTTGCTCTCCTCTATGCTCTACATAGATAGGTACGGTGCAGAGGTTTCAGCTGATGCAGCGAGTGGTTTATTGTGGCAGCCCGGAGCTTCACCTTGAAGGTAGAGATGTGTCTTATCTGTGCTTTCCTGCCTATTCTGTGTATGACCAGTAAATGGCAGATACTGAACAACACTTAGAATAAGACTTCATTGTTCATGACACTAAGTTTTGTTTCCTTATGTATGTATGTGTGTATGTATTTAATTTTTGATACACAGTCTTGCTCTGCGGCCCAGGCTGGAGTGCAGTGGCATGATCTCAGCTTTGCAACCTCTGCCTCCCTGGTTCAAGCGATTCTCCTGACTCAGCCTCCCGAGTAGCTGGGATTATGGGTGTGCACCACCATGCCCAGTTAATTTTTGTATTCTTAATAGAGACGGGGTTTCACCACGCTGACCAGGCTGTCGACCTCCTGGCCTCAGGTGATCCATCCGGCCACTTCAGCCTCCCAAAGTGCTGGGATTAAAGTTCTGAGCCAGTGAGCCCAGCTGACACTAAGTTTTTTATGTTTAAAATATTGCTCAGCCCTCCCTGCTGTACCAGGCTAGAATAGATCTTGGGAGATGACTCTATTACACTTTATTTTGGGGAGGAGGCAAGAAGGGAGTGAGCAGGCCTGAGACCCAGCAAAGGCAGAGGATGATCAAATAGCGGGAGTGGGAGAACCACTGGACGGGTTCTGGGTCTGTCCATGAAACAGGCTCATAGTTTCCTTCCAGTTAAAATCATCTCCTATGCAACTTTTGTGCTTTATACATAGGATGAGAGGTCAAACAACGCCAACTTGTGCTTGATTATGTACACAGCTATTTCACGAACCATCATATTTCATAATCGATCCATTTCTGATAATTTAAAAATGCGTCTTCCACTGAGAAAGCTCAGAATATCACACTGAGGGGTGAGAAAGAACTGCCCTTCTCCCCCTGCTTTGCCTCACATCTCCCAAAGAGGGCGTTAGACTCTTCTGAGTGGTTTTCATTACAAGACACGTGTCCCAGGGGGTCACCTTGAGTGGACGCTGTGGCCACTGTGCTCAGCGATCACACACAGATGCAAGGAGCCCGCTCCTCGCTCCTGCCTCCTCTCTTAACATGGAGTTTGAGTTCATTTATCTTGCTTTCTCACCTCTTCTCAGCCAGGCACCCTGCACTCATCGCTGGAGGACAGAGTGGTCCTGAACTTGGAGTCTGGTTTTAGAGAGAGGGAGAGGCTCGTATAGACCTAAGCCATGCAGTTCAGTCCATTCTGCCAGAGAGCTCTGCTCTGGAGAGTCGGCCCCATGCCAGAAGGTAAAATGAGGCATTGTCCTTTTCTGCTGCTACTGTTTGCCATTGTCCCTCATGCTAACGTGTCCCTCGGGGGCCGTGTAGTGAGAAGGCATGGCTGCGCCAAAAACAAATCTGGAATTCTCGACCACACAATCAGATAACAGTGCCTGGACTGACCACAAAACTGAACCCATTAAGAGTTGCAGGCGTGGCCGGGCGTGGTGGCTCATGCCTGTAATCCCAGCACTTTGGGAGGCCGAGGTGGGCGGATCACAAGGTCAGGAGATCGAGACCATCCTGGCAAACACAGTGAAACGCCGTTTCTACTAAAAATACAAAAAATTAGCCGGGCGTGGTGGTGGGCGCCTGTAGTCCCAGCTACTCGGGAGGCTGAGGCAGGAGAATGGTGTGAACCTAGCAGGCGGAGGTTGCAGTGTGCCGAGATCGCGCCACTGCACTCCAGCCTGGGCGACAGAGCCAGACTTTGTCTCAAAAAAAAAAAAAAAAGAGTTGCAGGCACAGGAGGGATAACACAGATTTTTTTTTTTTTTTTTTTTTTGAGACAGAATCTTGCTCTGTCACCCAGGCTGGAATGCAGTGGCGTGGTCTCAGTTCACTGCGACCTCCGCCTCCCAGGTTCAAGCGATTCTCCTGCCTCAGCTTTCCGAGTAGCTGGGATTACAGGTGTGCACCACCATGCCTGGCTAATTTTTGTATCTTTAGTAGAGATGGGGTTTTACCATGTTGGCCAGGCTGGTCTTAAACTCCTGACCTCAAGTGATCCACCTGCCTCAGCCTCCCAAAGTGCTGGGATTACAGGCTTGGCCAGTACGGCCAACACAGATGTTGTATTCTGACTTGAGTATGTATCCGCATCTGAGGTCCGTGAAGTATAGTCACCATAGCTAAGGAAACCAGGATGACAGGTCTCTAATTGTAGGAGGAGCGTGAGCAGAATCTCATGGGAAATAGGGCAGGAAAGGGACTTTAGTTCCTCACCTTCACTTTCGGACCCGGGAACAGCCACATCCAGTACCTCAAGTCACTTCATAATCTCTAGCATCTCCCATCGTAGGTGGGGACAGTGAGCTGGGGTCAAGAGAACTTACTGAACAGGGGAGGATTACCTGGGTGGATTTTGGTTGGCGCTGCCGTCATGGTGTCTCTGAGGATCCCTTGGCGCTTCTCTCTCTGCAGGTGACAATGGATCCTGGGCCGGAAGAGATGCGGCTTCCCCTCCTAAAGAAGAAAACCAACCCCACAGTCATTCAGAGAGGCAATGAGTGGCTGGGCGCCATATGGAGCTGAGGCCTGGTGACTCCAAGATGGGAATTTGTAAACATAAAATCCACGGAGGATGGAGAGCTTGAAGAGGAGAAGAGCACTGAGGCTGGAGCTGGGAAACACCAATGGTAGGTGGAGGGGTCGAGGAATAACTCAGAGGAAGCTGCCCCAGAGAGAGGGTGCAGGGAGGGACCCCAGCATCTGTTTCTTTTGCTGTCAAGCCTCTCACTGTCTCCATCATAATACAGTAACTCTCAGAAGTGCTTGCAAAGACTTCTGGTTTGAACATGAATGGATCACATTCTCAATTTCTCTTCTTTCAAAAATTACCCATAAGCAGCAAGGAAAATGAAACAGATACCATCTATTAGAGACTAGGGGAAATAGATAAACTAGATTAAAAGGATGCCGAAAGCAATGGGAATGAGCAGGGCTTTGGGAGCAAGAGGAGAGAGGATGTTGATAAAAGCAAATTTCAGGTGAGGGGTATCCCCAAAGTGCAACAATAAAACTCTGTTCAAAATAGTAAGACTAAGGTGTACAGGTTGGCAGTGAATCCGGATTGGTTTCACAAAGCAGTGAAGATATGACTAAATGAGGAAACACAGTGAGACAAGCCATATTTGTAGGAAGCAGTTTGTTTTTGAGGCAGAGAGGGGAAAACACCTCACATTGTGAACAATCTGAAAACTGCCAATTCCATTGCTGGGGAGAAATATATACTAGAAATTCAGGTGGAAGGCGTAGGTCATAAAGAACAGTTCTGCTATCCTAGAACACAGTCCTGGCATTTTTCTGTTTAATTTTCCCTAAGTAACTGGCCCATGAAAAGAAGAAAAGCCATCAACACAAGGTCTACACAAAAAAAAATTAATAACAAAAAAACCTCAATTTTTAAAATGGACAAAGGACGTGAATAGGTATTTCTCCCAATACGTGCCAATGAGCATGTGAAAAGATGCCCAGCGTCTCTAATCATTAGGAAAATGCGAATCAAAACCACAATGAGGTTAGGCACGGTGGCTTATGCCTGTAATCCCAGTATGTTGGGAGGCTAAGGTGGGAGGATTGCTTGAGGCTAGGAGTTCAAGACCAAGCTGGGCAACAATGGCAACACTCTGTCTCCACAAAAAATTAAAAAATAATAATTATTTTGAAAACCACATGAGATACCACTTCACTCTTATGCAGATGACTCTTACCAAAAAATAAAATGAGCCGGGTGTGGTGGCTCACGCCTGTAATCCCAGCACTTTGGGAGGCTGAGGTGGGTAGATCACCTGAGTTCAGGAGTTCAAGACCAGCCTGGCCAACATGGCCAAACCCCGTCTCTACTAAAATACAAAAATTAACCAGGTGTGGTGGTGACGCCTGTAAACCCAGCTACTCGGGAGGCTGAGGCAGGGGAATCACTTGAACCTGGGAGGCAGAGGTTGCAGTGAGCTGAGATCACACCACTGCACTCCAGCCTGGGCAACAAGAGCAAAACTCCGTGAGGGAGGGAAGGAAGGAAAGAAGGGAAGGAGGGAGGGAGGGAGGGAAAGAAAGAAAGAAAAACATGGTGAGATATATATTGTGGAGAAGTTGGAATGCTTGTGAATTGCCGGTTGGAGTGGAAAATAATGCAGCTGCTGTGTAAGATAGCTGGTCCATAAAAAACAACACGTTTTTCACCCTGTATGAACCAACAGTGTGGTTCCTCAAAAAATTAAAAATAAAACTAACATATGATCCAGCAATTCCACTTCTCCATATATATACACCCAAAAGAATTGAAAGCAGGGTCTCAAAGAGATATTTGTATACCAATGGTTATAGAAGAATTATTCACAATAGCCAAAATGTGGAAACAAGCCAACTGTCCATTGATGGATGAATGGATGAACAAAAGATGATACATATACACCATGAACTATTATTCCTCCTCAAGAAAGAAGGACATCTTTTTTTTTTTTTTTTTTTTTTTTTGAGACGGAGTCTCGGCCTGTCGCCCAGGCTGGAGTGCAGTGGCGTGGTCTCGGCTCACTACAAGCTCCACCTCCCCGGTTCACAGCATTCTCCTGCCTCAGCCTCCCGAGTAGCTGGGACTACAGGCACCTGCCACCACGCTCGGCTAATTTTTTGTATTTTTAGTAGATATGGGATTTCACCGTGTTAGCCGGGATGGTCTCAATCTCATGACCTCATGATCCAACCGACTCGGCCTCCCAAAGTGCTGGGATTACAGGCGTGAGCCACCACACCCGGCCTGTTGTTGTTTGAGACAGAGTTCCACTATTGTTGCCCAGGCTGGAGTGCAATGGCACGATCTCGGCTCACTGCAACCTCCCCCACCTGGCTTCAAGCGATTCTCCTGCCTCAGCCTCTCGAGTAGCTGAGATTACAGGCATGTGCCACCATGCCCGGCTAATATCTTTTTATTTTTAGTAGAGACAGGGTTTCACCATGTTGGCCAGTCTGGACTTGAACTTCTCAGGTTATCCACCCACCTTGGCCTCCCAAAGTGTTGGGATTACAGGCCTGAGCCACAGTGCCTGGCCAGAAGGAAGTTCTGACCTATGCTACAGCATGGATGAACCTTAAAGACATTCTGCTAGGTGAAATAAGCCACTCACAAAAGGACACATGCTGTAGGATTCCCCTCATATGGGATTCTTAGGGTAGTCAAATTCATGAAGCTAGGGAGAGGAGTGGTGGTTGCCAGGGGCTGGGGGAGGGGAATGAGGAGTTATGTTTACTTGGGGCAAAGTTTCAGTTTTGCAAGAGTTCTGTGGATGGTGGTGGCCATGGCTGCACAACAATGTGAGTGCACCTAATGCCACTGACCTGTACACTTAACAATGCTTGAAATAGAAAACTTTAGGTTATATATATTTCACTATAATTAAAATGAATATATATATATACATACACACACACACACACACATTTATAGGCATTTAAGTATATAGACAAAAAGGGATTGGGTGAGGTGGCTCACACCTGTGATGCTAACACTTCAAGAGGCCAAAGCGGGAGGATCGCTTGAGCCCAGAAGTTCAAGACCAACCTGGGCAACAAAGTGAGATCCTGTCTCTATTTAAAAAAAAAAAAAAAAAAGAATAAAAAAGAAAAAAATTAGCCAGGTGTAGTGGTGCACACCTGTAGCCCAGCTACTTGGAAGATTGAAGTAGGAGGATTGTTTGAGCCTGGGAGATTGAGGCTGCAGTGAGCCGTAATTACAGCACTGCACTCCAGCCTGGGCAATAGAGCAAGACCCTGTCTCAAAAAAAAAAAAACAAAAAAAACCCAGAAAGACCTAAAGACAGACAGCAACAACAGCAAAAACAAAGGGCAGATAAAGAACACTCGCTCGCCGGAGCCGAGTCCAGCCGAGCGCCCGCCGCTGCCCGTGCGCCTCTGCGCCTCCGCGCCATGGCCGGCCTCAACTCCCTGGAGGCGGTGAAACGCAAGATCCAGGCCCTGCAGCAGCAGGCGGACGAGGCGGAAGACCGCGCGCAGGGCCTGCAGCGGGAGCTGGACGGCGAGCGCGAGCGGCGCGAGAAAGCTGAAGGTGATGTGGCCGCCCTCAACCGACGCATCCAGCTCGTTGAGGAGGAGTTGGACAGGGCTCAGGAACGACTGGCCACGGCCCTGCAGAAGCTGGAGGAGGCGGAAAAGGCTGCAGATGAGAGTGAGAGGAATGAAGGTGATAGAAACCGGGCCATGAAGGATGAGGAGAAGATGGAAATTCAGGAGATGCAGCTCAAAGAGGCCAAGCACATTGCAGAAGAGGCTGACCGCAAATACCAGGAGGTAGCTCGTAAGCTGGTCATCCTGGAGGGTGAGCCGGAGAGGGCAGAGGAGCGTGCGGAGGTGTCTGAACTAAAATGTGGTGACCTGGAAGAAGAACTCAAGAATGTTACTAACAACCTGAAATCTCTGGAGGCTGCGTCTGAAAAGTATTCTGAAAAGGAGGACAAATATGAAGAAGAAATTAAACTTCTGTCTGACAAACTGAAAGAGGCTGAGACCCGTGCTGAATTTGCAGAGAGAACGGTTGCAAAACTGGAAAAGACAACTGATGACCTGGAAGAGAAACTTGCCCAGGCCAAAGAAGAGAACGTGGGCTTACATCAGACACTGGATCAGACACTAAACGAACTTAACTGTATATAAGCAAAACAGAAGAGTCTTGTTCCAACAGAAACTCCGGAGCTCCGTGGGTCTTTCTTTTCTCTTGTATGAAGTTCCTTTTGTTATTGCCATCTTCGCTTTGCTGGAAATGTCAAGCAGATTATGAATTACATGACCAAATATTTTGTATTGGAGAAGCTTTGAGCACCAGTTAAATCTCATTCCTTCCCTTTTTTTTTTCAAATGGCACCAGCTTTTTCAGCTCTCTTATTTCTTCCTTGAGTTGCATTTATTCCTAAGGTAGGCAGGGTATTTCCTAGTAAGCATACTTTCTTAAGACAGAGGCCACTTGGTTCCTGGGACAATAGGCAGCCCCACACTTTGAAGACCACAGACCCCAATATCTAGTCGTGGATATACTTAAAACACTGAAGAGCATAACCTTTTGGGTCAACCGTTGGTCAAACTATAGGGACCATCACACGGGTAGGGATTTTCCATCCAGAGCCAATAAAAGGGCTGGTGGGGGCCGGGGGTGGCTATTGTGGGAAGTCATAAACCACAGATAGATTAACCTAAGAATCCTGGCCCTTCTCCACACTCCACCATGCAGAACAAACATCCTCTTAAGCAATCAACGTAGAATGCTTGGGTAATAGTCATAATTACCCACATATAGTAATTGATAGATGGTAATTAATAGATCCTTGATGTGATGTTCTTTTGTGTATTGCCTTCATTCTAAAGTTCTCTGGCCGGGCGCGGTGGCTTTCGCCTGTAATCCCAACACTTTGGGAGGCCAGATCACTTGAGGTCAGGAGTTCGAGACCAGCCCAGCCAACATGGCGAAACCCTGTCTCTACTAAAAATACAAAAATTATGGTGACACCTGCCTGTAGTCTCATCTACTCGGGAGGCTGAGGCAGGAGGAACACTTGAACCCAGGAAGTGGAGGTTGCAGTGAGCCGAGATCGCACCACTGCACTCCAGCCTGGTCAACAGAGTGAGACTCCATCTCAAGAAAAAAAATAAAATAAAAATAAAGTTGTTCTCTGAAGAGCAAATGTCTCATTCCAGTAATGACCCACTCAGCCGGAATATGGTGGAGTTCAGTCCAATTCAGGTCAGCCATATCCAAAAGACTACAAGTCATTCATAAGTTGAGCAAAAGCGTTTCTATCTATTAGCAGAAAGGGCCTCTCTGGCAGCAGAGGTTAAAAATTGGCCCAACTTCATTTCCATACTTCAGGGAATAGCAAATTGAAGATTTACTTATCTAGGACTTGAATTCCTTCTTTGGGACCAAGTTAATAAAACACCAAGAAACTCCTGATTAAACTGGATAATGAAGGATTCTGTAGACAGGGCTGCACGTATCGGCTTTGTTTGACTTCTCTTTTCTCAGTTAACATCTCAGAGCTGGAACATTCCACATTCCCCAGCAGCGTGTGGGGGCCGAGTAAAGTTTACAATTCCGACTAAAAATCACCCTGTGTCTGGCTTATCTGAATCCCTTACCCACCCCACCACCCCACTCCTATTTATTCAGCACCACACTACCCAGGAAATACACTAGCAAATTGTGCAATGGAATCAAATCCACACTTTTCTTTAGATTCTTGCAACTGTATCATATGTAATAGTATCACTTTTTCTACATTTTGGTCGAATAAATTTTTACATAAACTACAAAAATAAAAATAAAAAAAAGAACACTCACCAGAAATGTGCTGCCAGCAAGCTGATGGAAACTATCATTCTTCTATAATTAATTTTATTAAAGTTGGTGAAGCAATTTCCCCTACAATGTAAGAGCATAAAACAGAGACGTGAGGGCTCAGAAGAAACATGGCAAGGTAACAGGAGGAAAGTAAATGGAAGCTGGTGGAGCTTAGGAAAGAAGAGAACAGAAAAATAAACTCATTACAAAAAATTAATGCTCATTGGATTTTATACAAGAGAAAATAGACACTATTAAGAAAAAGACATAGAAGACAGGGATGAAGTTAAAATAAAGTACTGAGAAAAAGTTTAACAAAAACATATGGAAAAGGTAGGAATTTTGCTAATGCCAACATATAAGGTCCTTGGAATCCTCAAAGAAGAAAACTGGAAAATGTGAACAGAACAAATATTTAAAGATAAAATTCAAGAAATATTTCTAGATATAAGAGAGCACAATAGGTCCCAGGAAAAATGGTTGCTGAATGGTGGCAGCAGGCAAAATGTAATGAAGTTACTAGATTTCAGATACAACAAAGGAATTTCTTGAGCAATGAAGCATGTTGGTGTCAGACTTTCCAGAACATTCAGCACAGAAACAACAGACTGGCGCCTACAATAGCCGTGAAAATAGAAACTCTCAGAAGTGTGTGTGTGTGAAAATTTTGTGTGTTTTATACCTTAGTATAATTTTTTTGACATGCTAGTAGTTCTTCAGAGCATAGAAGAAAAGACATTTTGATTCATAATACTATCTTAGTTTTGTTTTTTAGAATCTAGATACTGATAAAGATGATATCTTTTTAGCTTTTTATTCGAAACCTGCATACACATGTTTTGCATGTTCTTGATAACAAATGTCAACACTTTGATAAGCAAAAGGAAGTGAACACAGGTCATTTCAAGTCCACCACCCGTGATAACCACCATCCACACTAATCTTTTGACTGACATATCATTTAACAAAAAAAAAGAGACTTGACATCCATTTTCTCATGTACCACTCAAAATAACATTGAAGGTAAGCACATTTGTTACTCGCATTGTGTAGCCAAGGAAATTAAAGTTCATTCAGTTGAAGTACTTACCTGGGTCACCCCCTGTTGTCACAGTCTGTAGGCGCAGGGTAGCTACCTCGAGAGATCCACATTTTGTTCCTGTATGGGTCTGCACGTGACAGTAACTGGAATTTCAGGCAGATGAGCTGAGGCAGCTTTGAGCAAGGAGTCCAAGGGTTCGGGCCACTGTTGACCACTGCCTGCCCCTATAAATATATAACCACTCAAGGGAGTTGCATAAATATTCTGGTCTTCTCATCAGAAAAAATCAGCACAGAGGAAAGCGTATATTTACCTTGGAACAGAACCATAACCATGGACAGCTCTGCCCCTTCTGCCCTTTTTAATCCAAGCAATGTTTGTGAAGAGCACAGATGTGACCCTGAAGGTTCTTGACAAACCAGCACTGCCCAGACCACCGTGTAAATGATTCCCTGGAGACCTTATCAAATTGCTGATTGTGTTTCAGGAGGTCTTGGACAGGACAGGGCCTGGAATTCTGTCTTTTTTTTTTTTTTTTTTTTTGAGACGGAGTTTCACTCTTGCTGCCCAGGCTGGAGTGCAGTGTTGCAATCTCGGCTCACTGCAACCTCCACGTCTCAGGTTCAAGCGATTCTCCTGCCTCAGCCTCCCAAGTAGCTGGGACTACAGGTGCATGCCACCACTCCCAGCTAATTTTTGTATTTTTAGTAGAGACAGGGTTTCACCATGTTGGCCAGGCTGGTCTCGATTTCTTTTTTTTTTTCTTTTTGAGATGGAGTCTTGTTCTGTCTCCCAGGCTGGAGTGCAGTGGTGCGATCTTGGCTCACTGCTACCTCTGTCTCCTGGGTTCAAGCAATTCTCCTGCCTCAGCCTCCCAAGTAGCTAGGACTACAACTGCGTGCCACCATGCCCAACTAATTTTTTTGTATTTTCAGTAGAGATGGGATTTCACTATGTTGCTCAGGTTGGCCTCGAACTCTTAACCTCAAATGATCCACCTGCCTTGGCCTCCCAAACTGTTGGGATTACAGGCATGAGCCACCGCGTCCAGCCGGAATTCTGTATTTTTAACCGAACTCCCAAATGACACGGATGCTGTCAGTCTTGAAGGGAACAGAATAGTCAGGTGGTAAGAAACCCTCCTCCAGGGCACCGTGGCTCTCAGGCTAAGGCCAAGGGCTTTTTCTGTGGTTTCCATGGCTTGATGAGAGGCCCCCCACCACTCTCCACCCTCCTCCTTCACTCTCGTTACTGAACAGTCCCTTGATCAACAAAAGGCCCATTTCCAGCAAACATGAAGAACTCCTATAATTATTAAGAAGAAGATAAATAGTTCAATAGAAAAGTGATTGAGAAACTTGAATAGGTACTTGACAAAAGATATCCAATGGCCAGTAAATATTTGAAAAGATGCTCAACCTCATTAGTGCAGTCATTCATCACCTAACGAAGGGGACACATTCTGAGAAACGCATCCTTAGGCAATTTCATCATTGCACAAACATCACAGAGTGTATTTACACAAACCTAGGTGGTCTGGCCTATTCCATGCCTAGGCTACGTGGTATGGACCATTGCTCCCAGGCTACAGGCCTGTACAGCACGCGCTTGTACCGAATATTGCAGGCAACTGTAACACAATGGTAAGTATTTGTGTCTCTAAACATCTCTAAATATAGAAAAGGGACAGTAAAAATATGATATAAAAGATTAAAATGGGCTGGGCAAGGTGGCTTACACCTGTAACCCCAGGACTTTGGGGTTACAGGTGTAAGCAAGGAACATCCCTGAGAAAGAGAATGCGCCCTGAAAGTAGGCTTATAGACGGCCCCTTTTTAAGGCTACCTTTTTAAGGCGACCCGTCAAAGCGGAAGCCGATGGGATGAAATAAGCCCCGGTCTCCTACAGTGCTCCCAGGCTTATCAGGTGGACAAAAATTCCCACCTAATAAATTTTGGTCAGACAGGTTATCTGCTCTCAAACCCTGTTTCCTGATAAGATGTTATCAGTGACAATGCGTGCCCCAAACTTCATTAGCAATTTTAATTTCACCTCATCCCGTGGTCCTGTGATCTCACCCTGCCTCCACTTGCTTTGTGGTATTTTATTACCTTGTGAAGTATGTGATCTCTGTGACCCACACCCTATTCGTGCACTCCCCCTCCTTTTGAAAATCGCTAATAAAAACTAGCTGGTTTTACTGCTCAGGGAGCATCACGGATCCTGCCGACATGTGATGTCTCCCCCGGACACCCAGCCTTACATTTATCTCTCTTGTGCTCTTTCCCTTTATTTCTCAACCCAGCCAAGACACTTGGGAAATAGAGAAGAACCCACGTTAAACACTGGGAGCGGGTTCTCCCGATAGGTAGTGATGCCCAGGAGAAACCCACGGAGTTGCATCACCTGGGGGTGCTGGCCCATCCTCAGCGGGGTTTCTTTACTGAGACCCTCTCTGGGCTGGAGATGCTCATGTCCAAACTGGGACCTGCAGGTGCCTCTCCAGAGGCTTCAAAGTCTCCTTGAAGAGGCCGGGCGCAGTGGCTCACACCTGTAATCTCAGCACTTGGGGAGACGGAAACAGGCACATCACTTGACATCAGGAGTTCGAGACCAGTCTGGCTAACATGGTGAAATCCCGTTTCTACCAAAAATACAAAAATTAGCTGGGCATGGTGGTGCAAGCCTGTAGTCCCAGCTAATCAGGAAGCTGAGGCAGGAGAATCACTTGAACCTGGGAGGTGGAGGTTTCACTGAGCCAAGATCACGCCACTGCACTCCAGCCTGGGCGACAAAGTGAGTGAGACACTCTCTCAGAAAAAAAAATTAGCCAGGCGTGGTGGCGGGTGCCTGTAGTCCCAGCTGCTGGGGAGGCTGAGGCAGGAGAATGGCGTGAACCCAGGAGGCAGAGCTTGCAGTGAGCCGAGGTCGCACCACTGTACTCGAGCTTGAGTGACAGAGTGAGACTCCGTCTCAAAAAAAAAAAAAAAAAAAAGTCTGGAAGCAAGCAGCAACAAAACTGTGGAGCTTGATGACCCCAGAATTTGAGATGGTTGGTAACTGTTCTCAGAACATGAAACCCAGAAAATAAGTTGGAACATCGATAAGGCTTTATAACCTCCTGTATAAATTTCCCTTATCTGGCCGGGCACGGTGGCTCACACCTGTCATCCCAGCACTTTGGGAGGCCAAGATGGGTGGATCACCTGAGGTCGGGAGTTCAAGACCAGCCTGGCCAACATGGTGAAACCTCACCTCTACTAAAAATACAAAAATCAGCTGGGCTTGGTGGTGGGCTCCTGTAATCCAGTTACTAGGGAGGCTGAGGCAGGAGGATCACTTGAACCCGGGAGGTGGAGGTTGCAGTGAGGTGTGATCATGCCACTGCATCCCAGCCTGGGTAGCAGAGCGAGACCCTGCCTCAATAAATAAGTAAATAACTACATTTCTCATATCTTCATCATATGCTGGAATTTGAAATCTATATTATCCAGAGTGTGCACTCCAACCATGAGTTATGCTTGTGGTTGGAGAATCCTGCAGTTCTGCTGGAGCAGGAAATGTGGTATTTTGCTTCTGCACAACTAGTCATTTATACTGCCAGACTCAAGATACCCACACATGACTCGATCATTGACATTCTACATGAATTCTTGAAAAGTCCCCATTCTTTGCTCATCTTTTCCCTCTACAGACAACATAATATGCTGGGAAGGGCTTTTCAGGTAGGCTTACTGGGGTCTGAATCCTGAATTGCAGGGCAAGTTTTCACCTCTAAGCCTCAGCTTCTCCATCTGTAAAATGGAGCTAACCCTACCTGCCTTTATGATATCTCATAATCCTCACAAATAACCTTGCGTGTAAAAGGCCTCAGATCTATGTAAGTGCTTTGCAATATTCATTTTCTTCCAGCTTCTCGTTTGTTTTGAGACAAGGTCTCCCTCTATCGCCCAGGCTGGAGTACAGTGGTGTGATCTTGGTTCACTGCAGCCTCAACCTCCCAAACTCAAGTGACCCTCCTGCCTCAGCCTCCCAGGTAGCTGGGACCACAGGCGTGCACCACCACCCTCAGCTAATTTTTGTATTTTTTTGTACGTATTAGAAAAACATCAAAGTTCAACCATGAATCCAGCACATTATCAAATGAATAGACAACAATTCTACCAACAAACTTAAGAAAATATCATTATCTATGAAATTCAAGTACTACTGCCTGAAGGGCATTTACAGAACTCTCACCTCAAGGTTTCCCTGCAAAACAAGGGGAAATGCATACTCAAGACTCTTTAAGAATGAGCCACTGATAAAAACAATATACTTGCAACTTGTGTAACATTTCATACATTTTTTTCAAGCACTGCACGATAATCAATTCACATCAGGCTTTCCAAATTAGAAAAGCTTCATTTATAGAACTTCTTTCCAGTGGGAGTTTTCACATGACTTCAAGTAAATGTTAAAACTAAAAGTATTCTTGCAGTTTCTAAACTATTAAGAGTTTTAATCCTGTGTACGTTCTTGTATTTACAAGGTCCAGCCAGCTACAGTGTGCATTTTCATATGTCCTTGAGTGGGTATGAGAGAAATGAAGCATTCCCATGTTCTGGACATTCATAGGGTTTTTCTCAGGAATGAGCTGATGTCTTCAAATGGGACTAACACAACTGAAGGCCTTACCACAAATTTAGATTCAAAAGGCTTTTCTCCACTCTGAGTCCTCCCAAATCTTCAAAAACAGGAAAATCTGAAGGCTTGACCACATTTCCTACATTCTTAAGGTTTCTCTGCAGTGTGAGCTCTTTCGTGTTTATGAGGGAATGGGAAAGAGTAAATGTTTTACCACATTTCTTACATTCAAGGGGCTTTATTTATTTACTTATTTATTTTTGAGATGGAGTCTCACTCTGTCGCCAGGCTGGAATGCAGTGGCACAATCTCGGCTCACTGCAACTTCCGCCTCCTGGGTTCAAGTGATTCTCCTGCCTCAGCCTCCTGAGTAGCTGGGATTACAAGCATATGCTACCACACCCAGCTAATCTATGTACTTTTAGTAGAGACAAGGTTTCACCATGTTGGCCAGGATGGTCTCGATCTCCTGACCTTGTGATCCGCATGCACAGGGCTTCCCCCCAACCCCCTGTGGCTTTTTATGTCCTTGAAAAAGAACTAAGACAACTGAAATGTGCCACCACGCCCAGCTAATTATTATTATTATTTTTTTTTTGAGACGGAGTCTCGCTCTGTCGCCCAGGCTGGAGTGCAGTGGTGCAATCTCGGCTCACTGCAAGCTCCGCCTCCCGGGTTCCCGCCATTCTCCTGCCTCAGCCTCCCGAGTAGCTGGCATGAGCCACCGCACTCGGCATTATTTTATTTTTTGTAGAGACAGGGTTTCACCATGTTGCCCAGGTTGTTTCACATTGTTTTAATCCAGGCTGGTTATGAACTCCTGGGCTCAATACACACACACCTTGGCCTCCCAAAGTGCTGGGATTATAGGCTGAGTCACTACACCCAGCCTCTATATCATGACTTCTTTCATGGCGAGTAAGGTGACTGGAACAAGTGTAGGCTTTACCGCATCTCTTACACTCGTAGGGTTTTTCTCCAGTATGAATTCGTTCGTGGAGGTGAAGGGAACTGAGGCGACTGAAGGCTTGGTCACACTGTTTACATTCATAGGGTTTCTCTCCAGTGTGAACGCTTCCATGGTCATGAAGGGAAGTGGAACAGCTGAAGGCTTCATCACATATGGTACATTTATAGGGTCTTTCTCCAGTGTGAGTCCTTTCACGCATCTTAAAAGAACAAGAAAATCTGAATGTTTTCCCACATTCCTTACATTCGTAGGGTTTCTCTCCAGTGTGAGTTCGTTCATGTATTAGACAAGAACTGGAAACAGTGAAAGCTTCACCACATTGTTTACATTTATAGGGTTTTTCTCCTGTGTGAGTTCTCTGATGTCTTTCAACTGAATTGAGAAAATAAAAAGCTTTCCTACATATTGTACATTTATAACTGGATTTCCACAGTGCATTATCATGTGTCTTCTAACACCTGGACTGTACACATTTATATTGCTTCTCTCCATATGGTTTGTATCCTGAGTGAACCAGGATGTGCCTATTAAGGCCTATTAAGGAGGGAATGACGTACAAAGACTTTTCCACAAATACTGCATTCACATTGTTTTCATCCAGTAGAAATGCTCTCATTCAGATCAAGATTTGGAATTTGGCTGACAACTTATCCATACTGACTACCTTCTTTGCTTTCACACAATCTCTGTACCATATGATTTCTATAAAAAAATGACAAGCACATTATTATTGGTTTAATAACTTTCTACTTATTAATAGGTCTTGGACTTACACTGCTACCAATACCAGGGAAAACGCATTTTTTTTTTCCATGACTGAATTATTTGAAAGTAAATGGGTTACTACTGAAAACACAGCTACCACCTGCATGGCCATGACCAAAATAGTAACATTCATATACACTTTTGTAGTACTATTTTCAAGTAAACTGTTTTCCAAACACTGACTGCTACACTGAAGTACGTTACATTTTGGGTGAAATTTTTCTAAAAAGAAAGAAACTTCAAGTGACCCTTACTTGTTTTGACTGCTTGTTTTTAAGTTCACGACATGCTAAGATTCCTTCAGAGGACTTTATTTCCTCTTCTCAGTGCAAATTATCTTATATCTTTCCCAGGTTTTTCGAAGTGATCTTCAATACTCTGGTCTTTCCATTTGTTTCCTAAAATGCAGACTCACAAAATTATCATGAATTATTACAAACTATAGAAACATTACTAGATTTCATGTTCATTGTACACCGTGCCCATGCCTGACTTATTCACCAAATCATTCCCTTGCCACATTCCAAATCACAAATAGCACTGATGATAGGGAAATACTTCTGTAATTAAGTGAAATGTGTTGTCACTCTTACCTACAGAAGCCAGGTTCCTGCAGGTTTCCTGCATCACTTCTCTGTAGAGATTCTTCTGAGAAGAATCTAGCAAAGCCCATTCCTCCTGGGAAAAGTTCACAGCCACATCCTCAAAAGCCACGGAGTCCTAGAACATTCCACACATGTGGATAGAAGGATGGGTGAGACTGAGAGCACTGGGAATCTATACTCAATTCATAAGCTGTTTACATGATTCTAAAATTTCCAAGCATTTATTCTATGACTTGATTGTCACAACTCTTACTCTGTTCACACATACTCCCTCCCACACAGCAGTACTTATGCTAGAATTGAACTATTCAAAAAGGCAACAGCAAAGGAGAAACAACCATCTCATTAGAGAATCCAGGGAGTAAGATGTGCTGCTAGGAGTTACCTTTTAACTTCACTTTGTACATTTCTGTTATCTGTCATAATAAAGTCCTACCTGATGTGCATAAGGGAGTTAATATTATCAGTCCTGAGACTACTTGTTCTTAAAAATGCCTGGTCCCAAAGTTCAATCTTTGTTTGTGTTAGTAACTTACATTTTGAAAGGGATTCCACCAACCTAGGTAATAAGAACAACTCACTGTCTCTAAATGGCTTACACAATATATTTGCCAAAACTTTTTCTGCTGAAGGTCTATTATTTTGTGTCACTGCAGTGGTGCTTAGGGAACCAGACACCAAAATACAGTCTGAAAGTAAGTGTTCAGTGAATTTCCCTGGTAGACAATATTGTACATGTGCTGTCACTTGTTAACTGGGGAGTTGAACCCATTCCATGTGATTACACCAAAAGAGAATAGGCTTATTAAATTTAATTGAGTAGTAAATAAAACAAATAATTGATATTTAACAATACTAATACAACAATTTTTTCAATTTCTATTGCACAGTGTCAAGGCAGAAAGGAATAAAAGGAAATATGACACGTTTTTTAAAATGACATTGATGTCACCACTTCCAGATGCTATTCCTATGAAATCACATAAATTCCCAAATCAGGTTTTTTAAGGCAAGAAAAACTACTTTTTCATACATAGTAAAAATGACAAATGTCTAATGATTTTTAGTCGTCTAAAAAAAGAGCGATGGCTTGTCTAACATACTTCTAAGATTTTCAAATGAAAATATTCAGGACAGCACAGTATTAGCAGAGATGAGCAAGCAGACCAAGGGAAAAAAAAGTCTTAATGACCCAGCATTTATATGGAAAGTTGAGGAATGATAGAGTAGGCACTGTAGAATAGAAAAAGAAATCACATGCACTTTAAAATATGAGGCAAACCAGGCTGGCATCTACTTGGGAAAATGCATTGCATCCTTCTCTATTCCATGATCCATAATCAACTTATTATATATCAAATATGAAAGATAAAACCAGAACACTTTCAGAAGTCACAGGAAGATTTTTTTTATGAAGGATTAGGCAGAATTTTTTTTTTTTATGTAAGAAAAAAGTAGGCCGGGCGCGGTGGCTCAAGCCTGTAATCCCAGCACTTTGGGAGGCCGAGACGGGCGGATCACGAGGTCAGGAGTTCGAGACCATCCTGGCTAACACGGTGAAACCCCGTCTCTACTAAAAAATACAAAAAACTAGCCGGGCGAGGTGGTGGGCGCCTGTAGTCCCGGCTACTCGGGAGGCTGAGGCAGGAGAATGGCGTAAAAACCCGGGAGGCGGAGCTTGCAGTGAGCTGAGATCCGGCCACTGCACTCCACCCTGGGCGACATAGCGAGACTCTGTCTCAAAAAAAAAAAAAAAAAAAAAGAAAAAAGTGATAAAGGAACAAACTCAAACATATTAAAATTTAGGGAATAAAAAGAAAATAGAGTGGGCCGGGCGTGGTGGCTCACGCCTGTAATCCCAGCACCTTGGGAGGCTGAGGCGGGGGATCACCTGAGGTCAGGAGGTTGAGACCAGCCTGGCCAACATGGCAAAACCCCGTCTTTTTGTTGTTTGTCTGTTTTTTGAGACGGAGTCTCGCGTTGTCGCTTGGGCTGGGGTGCAGTGGCAAGATCTTGGCTCACTGCAACCTCCACCTCCTGGGTTCAAGCAATTCTCTTGCCTCAACCTCGCGAGTAGCTGGGATTACAGGTGCCTGCCACCACGCTCAGCTAATTTTTTTGTATTTTTAGTAGAGACAGGGTTTCACCATGTTGGCCAGGCTGGTCTGGAACTCCTGACCTTGTGATGCGCCCACCTTGGCCTCCCAAAGTGCTGGGATTACAGGCATGAGCCACCCTGCCAGGACTAAAACCCCGTGTTTACTAAAAATACAAAAATTAGCTGGGTGTGGTGGTGGGTGCCTATAATCCCAGTTACGCGGGAGGCTGACACAGGAGAATCACTTGAACCCGGGAGGCGGAGGTTGCAGTAAGCAAAGATGGCGCCACTGCACTCCAGCCGGGCTACAGAGCAAGACAGTGTCTCCAAAAAAACAAAAAACAACAAAAAAGACCCTCAGATATCCAGATAAGAGGATACAGATGTGTCCAGTGTCATAAATTCTTCACCATGCTACAAGAGGGGAACTGACATTTTGGTGAATCTTTGTAAATCATCAATTTATCTATCACACTTTTATTTCACCAGTAGCATTTACAAAGCTAAGTCCTATAATTCCATTTGAAATTACCCTTAAAAAGAACAGACCTTTAAAACTTACTACACTCACTCTGGGGAAGAAATAAATACGAATTTCTAGCAAATAAAATACATCCTTTTACCTTGCCTCTTTGGAAATAGTATTTTTACCTTTCAAGCTGTACTGACAAAATGTATCTTACAGTCAATGAAAAACTGAAAGGCCAATAAGCGGACAAGCCTTTTCAAGGTAACAAACTCAGGGAGAGGCAGTGCTGACCCCAACACAGACCTTTCTAAGTGTCACGGCAGGCCATTCTATTCCTCTTCCTCGGGACACCCATCCTGTTCAGTAAAGTACTCAGTGACCTCCTAGGAGGCACTGGCACTGCTCTTTGTCCTCCTGTGTGCCTTTAAGTGCATTTTAATATTCAGGTTCTTGCACATCCTCTCTGGGGCGGGTTTTCCTTGTCCTTTGGGACAGTTTTTCTCTCTTCACAAGTCTGAGACTATCTAGAGAACAGAAATCATTTCTGCCTTTTCCTCTCAGTATCAGCATCCCATTGGCAAACCATCAATGTGTCTCCGAGGAATAAAAACTCCAGCTGGAGCAACAGTTTTAATGACCTAACTTTCATGACATTACATTGTATTGTCCATTAATTTTAATATCCTAAAATTTTAATGACCCTAAGGGGTCACCATTTTAGATGAAACTATACCAGGAGATTCCTCTAAGGCCAAGAGCATCCAGCTGCTCCCCTGAGGGACTCTACCCCCTATCTCAGGCTGTCCCTGGCGATGAGATGACCCCGGGGCTGATACTCACTAGACCCTCCAATAGACATGGCCACTGTGGGTATCCTGGGTCATCCCCAGACAGTTCTAAAATACCAGGACTAGGAAAAAGACAGGAGGGTGGCTGAGGACACAACACCCTGTAAAGTTTTCACCGGGGGACCTCAACCTAAAGACATTTTGGTAATATGTACACTTAGGAAAGATGAAGAGAGGCACAAAGATTTTTTTTTTACAGTAGAGTGTCAGATGATTTATTCCCTGCTTTCCTCTCATGTAAAATGTTTGGAAACAGAAACATTTTGGCCAAGGTGGCTCACGCCTGTAATCCCAGCGCTTTAGGAGGCCGAGACGGGCGATCAATTAAGGTCAGGAGTTCGAGATCAACCTAGCCAACATGGCAAAACCCTGTCTCTACCAAAAATACAAAAATTAGCTGGACGTGGTGGTGGGCGCCTGTAAGCTCAGCTACTTGGGAGGCTGAGGCAGAAGAATCGCTTGAACCCGGGGGTCAGAGGTTGCAGTGAGCTGAGACTGTACCATTGCACTCCAGCCTGACGACAAGGCAAGACTCCGTCTCAAAAAATATATATATATAAAATACATATAATATGTTATATATACTATACAATATAAGATATTATATTATATATTATACAATATATGTATTGTATAATATATAATATATATTATATATTATATACAATATATGTATTGTATAATATATAATATATATTATATATATATGGTTTGCTTCCTCATTAACCTTATTAAAGCCTCTCATTTAGCCTCTCATTAGCTTCCTCATTAACCTTATCAAAGCCTCTCATTTACGCCCCTCCTGTGGACCCCAAACCACAAACCATGACTGCGGTACCCGGTTTATGATTCGCTGTTTGCTCAAACACACCGTTTAACGTTTTAACAAAACCTCAGGTTAATTTCAGGGGGAGAAAGTAGGACTGGAAGCTCCATGAACCACAGCTCCTCCCACGCTGGAACCCCGCACACCAAGTCGGGGCTCTCCCGGATCACCCTCTGGTGGTCAACGCACTACCTGGGTGGGGGAGGCTGCGGGGTTCCCGAGAGGGCTCCGGCCGGCGGAAGTGGCGCCCACAGGTACAGACAGGACGCAGGGGTCCCGCTGCCCGCCCCGCCCGGCTCTGCACAGAAGGGGACTGAGGCCCGGCTGCGCCCGGCGACTCGGTCCGCAGGTTCCGCAGCCGATGGTTGGTTCCAGGAGGTTTCAAGTAGCCTTCTTCCCCACTTCGGGAAGCCAGGCGCAGTCCACTCACCATTCCTCTGCTTCCCGGGTGTCCTGGCGTCAGCTAGGGATGTCCCAATACCCGCAGGTCACAGGGTGGCAGAGGCTGCTGCAGAGCCACCCGGGCCTCCCAGAGTCAAGAAGTAGCAGCGGAGACTAACAGGAAGAGCCTACTGCGGCGAAAGCGAGACAAAGCGCCCGCCAGCCAGAGCCCGGAAGCCGCCCTCTCCTTTCCGGCGGCGCGCCTGATTGAAGGGTCCCCACCCCAGCGCGCCTGATTGTACCGGGCTTCAGGCCCCGCCCCCTCAGGCCCTGAGTGACAGGAGATTGCTATCTCACGTGAGGCTGGATGAGGCCAGAATGACCGTTTTGGCCTAGCAGTTTGTAGGGGGTGCGTCCTTCCTGCGCTGGGATCTGACCATGCAAGGAGGACATTCATATTTAACCTTGTATACAAGGTTATAGCAAGCAATGTAATGACAATTCTGTAACTGCCCAGTGGGTTCACCTTGCCCGCTACCTAGACAGATCCAATTTCTCAAGACGGAGAAATAGCAATAGAGAAAGAGTAATTCACGCAAGAGTCGGCTGTGCGGGAGACCGGAGTATTTTATTATTTTATTTTATTTTATTTTATTTTATTTTATTTTTCTGAAACGGAGTCTTGCTCTGTCGCCCAGGCTGGAGTGCAGCCTCGGGGTTTTATGATTATTCAAATCAGTCTCCCTGAGCATTTGGGGATACGAGTATTTAGCAAGTTTATTTTGCCAAGGTTGGGGATACTTGTGCATGACACAGCCTCAGGATGTCCTGATGACAGCTGCCCAAGGTGGTCAGAGCGCAGCTTGGTTTTGCTGGAGATAAATGCTCGGTGCCGCAAAGTGAAACCAGCACTCAAGCGGAAGTTTTCTCAGCAACGCAATTTACTTCTGCGGAAGCCTGCTGCTCGCATCCATCACAATCCCAAGAGCACACTGAACAAAGGAAAGCAGGGGTTTTTATTCCTAACGCAATCCCTACCTCTGGCATGGGCTGGGGCCAGACCTCAAGATCTAAACTGACCCGTTTGGCTATTTGTGAATATTTTCCCAAATAAGGAAGGGGAAAGGGGGATGTGAGTTACAACGGTGGGACGTGTGGTTTCGAAGGGAGAAATGGGTGCAGAGCAGGTAACCAAGGGAACAGATGTGAGTTATTGATTAGAACTGACTGGAAGGTTGTTTACAGTAACCAAGGGCAAGCAGGCATGGAGAACAAGAAAGTTGAGTTCCAGAACAAAAAACAAGAAAGTTAACATGCCAAACCTTGGAAGCGAAACTGACTGTATCTGACAGTTTTATACATTTTAGGGAGACAGAAGACATATGTAACATATGTAACATATGTACAATCAACATATGTAAGAGGAACATTGGTTTGATCCGGTACAACCTGAAGCAAAAGTGGGTCAAATCGAAGCCAGGAGGGGGCTTCCAGGTCACAGGTAGGTGAGAGACGAACGGTTGCATTCTTCCGAGTTTCTGATGAGCCTTTCCAAAGGAGGCAATAAGATATGCATTCTTCTCAGTGAGCAGGGGATGACTTTGAATACAATGGGAGGCAGGTTTGCCCTAAGCAGTTCCCAGATTGACTTTTCCCGTAATCTTAGTGATTTGGGGGGCCCAAAATATTTTCCTTTCCAATTTCCCCCTTTTGTTTTAAAAATATTTTGGAGAAAGCATTTTAGAAGAAAATCAGTCTCTGGTGCCAGGTTTTGTCTGATTTCTCATGGAGTAGCTGGGATTACAGGCGCGCAACACCACACCTGGCTTTTTTTTTTTTTTTTTTTTTGGTAGAAACAGGGGTCTCCCTCGTTTGCCCAGGCTGCTCTCTGGTGCCCAAAGCGGGGCTCCCCGTTATCTCTACAAATAATCCAGTGAAGGAACACTAGAGCGTGGAAAGCGGAGGACGACCGACAAAGGACTCCCGAGTAGGTTTTCACTTCAAGCTCTAGGCTAAGTAGGGCGCTCGGAGAATTCCAGGGAAACCTGGGGAAAATATGGGTCAGGCTGAGAGTAAGTTCGCTAATTACTTAAGCTTTGTGCAGCAGTTACTGCGCCGCGAAGGGGTAATTGTGAGTACCCAAAATCTCACATCTTTGTTCCATCTGGTAGACAAGTATTCTCCTTGGTTCCCGGAATATGGAACCATGAACGTAAAAGATTGGGACAAGGTCGGATCAGACTTAAAACCAGCACAAGAGGGCCGCGGTATTCCCGTCTCTGCTTGGTCTGTGTGGTCTGCAATTAAAACGGCACTGGGGCCCTTCCACACTGAGGAGGAGAAGGAGGAGTTTCAGGATGATATAGGAAAGTTGAATAATCAGGAGTCTAAGTATCAGCAAATTGAACCATGACAGTCTAGTTTTAAAAAGGGCGAGAAACCGGAAGGTATGTATGCTAATCTCCAAAAACTTATAAAAGAAACAGTGCCACCTACCGCGCCTTTAGGGGAAGATCTGGAATGGCCACTCCCAGGTCAGCCTTGGGAATTTTTGGAAGGGGAGCCTGAGACGCGCCTTGGGGCTCCCATTGTTGCAGGCGCCGCCAGTAACTATGGCGAAGGGAAACTTCAGGCTTCTCCAACAGCCAATTAGGATGAGGGAATGATCCAGGCCTGCCCACCTGTAAATTATGGTAGAGGAATGCTACGAGCCGGTCCAAATACAAATGATGGCACAGGGACAATCCAGGCATCCATTCGCCAGGCACAAGAAATGGGGGATTTGAATGCTTGGCAGTTTCTGGTAATTATTTCGCCAGCTGAGGAGCCCAGAGAACTTGCTCAAGCATGCTGGGAGCCATTTCCTTTTAAAATATTAAAAGACTTAAAGCAAGCAATTGGACAATATGGGCCAAATTCTCCTTATGTTCATTCCTTGTTACAATATGTGGCTTATAACAGACGTTGAATACCTACGGATTGGGAGGCACTAGCCCGATCCACCCTGTGCTCCTCTGAATTTCTCCTATTTAAAACCTGGTGGAGGGATGAAGCAACAAATCAGGCACGCAGAAATGCTCAAGCCCAACGTCCCGTTAATATCACATCTGATCAACTGCTTGGAATCGGACAGGCATGGGGTACTCTAAATTAACAGATGGTAATGGGTGATGAGGCTGTTGATCAGCTCAGAACTATATGCCGAAGAGTCTGGGAAAAAATTCACGACCCTGCTACTGCTTATTCTTCTTTTCACACAGTTCAACAGAGTCCAAGGGAGCCTTATCCAGATTCTATCGTCCGTTTGCAGGATGCGGCTCAAAAGGCTATTTCCGATTCTCATGCCAAGAAAGTGATCGTTCAGCTGCTTGCTCATGAAAATGCTAATACAGAATGTCGGGCAGCAATTAGATCTGTTAAGGGAAAGGCAGATCTAAATAAGGAAAAAACTTTTAAGTGAATACATTAAAGCCTGCGATGGCATTGGGGGACACTTATATAAGGCCAGCCTCCTTATATAAGGCCAGGGGGAGAGAGGAGGATCCTATTACTCCCCATATCGCGGGGGGTGCCTCACCCCCCTGCGATGTGGATCCTAACAGCAAGGGGGAGAGAGGGGGTTGCTATTACTCCCCATTATGATGTGGATCGTAATAATTACTCCCCCCTGCAATGTGTATCCATTATTAGCAGTCTCTTTTGTTCAGGATATTAGGAACAATTTCACAGGTTGTGTGTACACAGCCTGCAATAGGAGAACGAACACCATCCTCTGCACCTCCGGATATTAGGAAGCATATCACACAATGGGTGTACACTTTTTGGGAGATTTGGGGTAATGTGGTCCTGTGTTTCCCTGAATATTCGGAGACATATCACAGGGCGGCTGTACACCCACTACTCTCTTGGCAGGAACATCATACTTTACCTACTGGAAATTAGGAGCAATATCACAGACTGGGTGTCAAGCCACTGTCATATTGGAAGTAATATCATGCTCTCCCCCACAAGTTATGAGGAACAATATCACAGGGAGGTGTGTACCTTCTCCGGTAGTGGCAGTAGTATCATCATCTCTTCCTTTAGATGGTGGGAACAGTATCACAGGGTGGGTGTACACCCCGTGTATTTTTGGAAGCAATGTCATTCTCTCTTCCTCTAGGTTTTATGATTCATATCACAGGCGGGGTGTACACCCCTTGTTATATTGGATGGAATCTCATCCTCTTGCAACCTGTATCTTTACAACAATATCCCATGGGGACTGTATATCACTTCAATATTGGTAGTAATACCATCTTATCCTTTCCTGGATATCAGAAACAATATCACAGAAGGGGTGTACACCCCTTGCAATATTGGTAGTAATATCACCTCTCCCCTGTGGTTATTAAAGACAAAATCCCAGGGTGGCTATACAGTTCCTACTTTATTGGGAGTAGTATCATCCACTCACCCCCTGGATATCAGGAACCATATCACAGAAGAGGTGTCCACCCCCTTCGATATTGTCAGCAATGTCATCTTCTCACCTAGATATTAGGAACGATACCCCGGGGTTGGGGGCCGTGTACACCCACTGTGATATCGCAAGTAAAATCAGCCTCTTTCCCCCTGGATATTAGGAACTGTATCACAGGTGTGTGTGCACCTTCTGGGATATTGGGAGTACTATCAGCCTTCACCCCGCTGCATATTAGGAACAATATACGTGAGGCAGGGTGGTTACATCCCCTGTGATATTGACAGTAATATTCTTCCCTTGTCCCTGTACAGTAGGAACTATATCACAGGGGTCTGTACAACTTCTGCGATATTGGGATTAATGTTATCCTCTCCCCCACTGAATGTCAAAACTAATAGCACAGAAGGGTGTACACCCCCTGCGATATGGCCAGTAATATCATCATCTCTACCTTCGGATACTAGGAACAACATCACAAAGGGTGTGTACACTCCCCTGCGGTATTGGGCATAATGTTATCCTCTCTTCCCCTGGATATTAGGAACGATATCCCTCGTGGTGGGAGGTGGAGTACATTAAGAACAATATCACTGGGTGGGTGTACATCCCCTATTGGGTGTAGTATCATCCTCTCTTCCCTAGGATATTAAGAACAGTATCACAGGAGGGGTGTACAGCCACAGCCCCTGCGTTATTGGGAGTCATAGCATCTTCTCCCCCTCTCGATAGAAGGAAAAATATCCCAGGGTGGGTGTACATCCCCTGCGATATTAGGCATGATGTCA